CCCATACACCCACTCCCAACTTGTTCTGCTACAGGCATGTACATGGTTTAATTGTTGCAGTCCTGGGAAATTGGTAACTATAACTTCCTTGAGAAAAATGATCCATGAAAGGAAAGCACTGTGAAAGACTGGAGAGATCAGGGAACTATGGAGGGCAGCTATCAGCCAGGTACTTGCTTAAATCACTGTCTCTCTGAAAGGGCAGTAATGAACAGTTCTTAGACCACTTAGTGGTAACAGTGGTCATATGTGCATTGAACTTACTTGTGTAATAGTTCAACCTGTGCAAAACCAGTAACTGACTGGTAGTTATATGTAGATTCAGCCTCATTTTCCATGTTACAGACTCTAGATAAGCCTGTGCTAAGACTAGACTTCAGAGGAGCCTAAAGGCGTGGAAAAATCTGGGTAAACTCAGGATTAGCACAGGACAACCTATACTCCTTTTCATGAAGTCTGACTATAACAGACTATCAGGTCTGTCTATCAGCAACTATAGCTCCAGCTCACTGCTGCTTCAGCAGGGTGCTGATGTCTTGAACCCAAGCTCCAGCTAAGTGACAGTTGAAATAGTGCATAGAAGGCTTAAGTTTGCTTTCAAATCCACTCTTCACCTCACAAAAGCTTCTGGATGGCTTCTGTGGTACCTGTGCTGGCTGAACACATTACAAGGAAAAAGACAAAAGGAGTTGCTGGAAACCTTGTCTTAGAGAAGTAACTAGACTTTTGATTCAGTGGATAACCTGCATGAAAAGCAAAGGAGCATTTGATCTCCTTTCATCACTGACAGAAAGAAGTAAAGGTGGAAACTCATGGGAATGATGAGACTTACATATGAGAAAATTCTCAGATCTGTAACATAGGTTATCATTGGCAAAGACAACGGTAAGTCCTATCTTGAATATATAGGCTTAGATCTGTTGTTCCAGAAAAGACTAGGATACGGAGAGTCATTTGCACATTTTCTGCTACACTGACCTATCACCGCTGGATGACAAAGCATGGCAAGAGGCACTATCTTGAAAGCAAGCAAAGTGGAAAGCAGACACCAGACACCATTCCCCTCCAGACTGAAAGCCATTGATACACATCATTGCTACAGAGTGAGAACTTTGAGGTTCAGAAACTTCCTAGAGAACTCTCCAAAGGCATAAACAGTCTGGAGAAGACAAGGTCTGCAATCCCTGCCAGTCAGCTTAGAAAACCATTGTCATTGCTTCTCCGTGGCGGAGTAAAACAATGAAAGAATTTTCTTATGCATGTATGGCTCAAACATAATTCTGTTTTAATRTCATTTTCTTGTAACCCATCTACACACAACTACTTATACACTTGTTATAAAGTATGTATGGGGTGACTCATCTAGCTGAAGAATAAGCCTAATTGGTCAGACCTCCAGGACACTGTGTGCTGAGCTATAAAGAATCATAATCTCATCTATTAGGAGATGTGACACGTTGCAGAAGTGCTATCTAAAATTCCCAGAAGAGGTGGTGTGAAATAAGAACTGTTGCCTAGGGACAGTCTCTTCTTAATGATAATTAAAGAGCTCAGATCTGCACTATTCTGGATGGATGAAAAAATATGCATGCATAAGCTCAGATTATGGCTTTGGCATGCTCACACTRGAGAGTTGTCTAATAATTTATTAGCCTCTTCAATAAAAGATTTCCAAAAGACAGTATAAAGGGCATCTGTGAATTTGACTGCCGTGTTCATAAGGTCCCAAAACTTCCCCCAGAGATCTTGCCTTTCTTTATAATGCAGCCAACATGATTCAGGAAAAAAAAAAAAAAAAAAAAANAAAAAAAAAAAAAAAAAAAACAGGAACTTGGTGAAAAAGCTTCCTTCTTCCCTGAGAGCATTCCCACACCGAATGACAAGAATTAGTGAGAAAAGAAAAGCCCCTTGCAAACTGATATAGGAATGTGAAAAAAAAACCCACTCCAAAGAGCTTGTGGATGAGTAGGGAGCATATTTATAGGGAGCACCAGCAGCAGTTTTACACACAGAGATGCACTTATTAATGATGGAGATTGACTTTGCTACAATTGTCTCATTTAATGATAATTGAAGCTTTGGAATGAAAAATAATTGCATATTCTCCAAGATTCCCTATCTTGGGAATAGGGAAAGGGAATCCGTATTCCCAAAGCAGTGCAATAACACTCTCTTAGCTATTTCTTCACATGCTGTTATTGTCCTGCCTCTTTTCCTAGCATATAGGCACCAGACACTGAGATATATATCAGTCCACCTACGTTTGGATGGACCTTTGGCCTTCATCATGTGTCTTGCAGAAGTCAATGGGATGAGTCACTTGCTTCTTCCAGTGTGCAACTACCAACAATCTGGCTCAAGCACRTATGAATACTTGTAATTTTAATCAGTGCATTAGCAAGAACTTGTGAATGATATTTCCAACACACGTCTTACTGGAAAGCATCCAGCCAGCAACATAAAATATGATGATCTCATTTATACTGCCTTTAAAAAAAAATGCTTTTAAAGATGTTGCCAAACTGAGATAATAAAAGTTAAGTATTTACTATGATTTGCTATTACAAAAAAAGAAATGTAAAATGATTTCATCAGTATCAGATAATAGGCCTGCTTATAACCAGAGGGCAATATTTTTAATAACTTCACTAAAAGTATGCACCAATATAAAAATGTGGTGCAATAAAAAAAAGTACAAAAGGTAATGAAATATTACCTATTATCACAGCTCATTTTGGTCAGGAAATAATACTACAAACTTAATACGATACATGAAAGCCTTATGAAAAGCAGGCAGGGAGAGGCTTATAATCTTATCCAGTATTAGGCAAGAGGCTGAGTGATTAATAAGTTGGCATTGAAGAGCAGAGAATGAAAATCATATGGACTWTAGGGAAAGGAAATAGCTTTAAAAATGAAACTGTCATGTTGCCAGGCTGCTTAAGAAGAGAGCCAGCTCCCAGAGCAATCCGCATGGTGCTGCGCAGGGGAGCACGTGTTGGGCACCCATCCTGGACGTGCTGGAGTCGCTCACACACATGAGCAACAGAAGAGCTAACCCAAGAAGATGAAGGGGAAAAAAAAAACCAACTTCAAAAGGTGGGGTTTGAATGCAAGGCCAAGCTGCAGGTTTGAATAATTGGAAAAAAAAAGATACTCCATAGTAATAGTAGATGAAATGTGATCTATCTATTGCAGTGCATGAGCTACACTTCACCAACGGGCCTCCAACGTGCTCAGTAGGCACGGATAAGATGTTCTTGGCTGCTTTTTTAAATAACAGGGCCAGGTCTTAGGATGGGATTRAAATTTGGCCTTGTGCTGATGTTATCACTGTTTGGGACTGCAGCATTAGATTTTAAATATCAAGTGATGCACTGGTACTGAAAAGCACTGGTACTTACAATCTCTACAACAGTGCCATTTAGTAAGAGTCATTGGCTCAACGTAGCACTTCCAGGAGACTCTAGATTTTACTGCTGTTTCTCAAACATGCCATATCTGGTTCTGATTTGTATGTTGTTCACACTGGAAAATGCCTGCAGTAGTTTCCAAAAGTGTGATTTCCAAGCTGTGGTTAAACCAGCATTTACTTTACTAGAACTATTTCTAGAGGTAGACAAGCAATAGGATCAATAAAGAATTTAGTCAAATTGATAAGCCCTGGTAAGTAATTTAGATCAGAGCACATTATGTCAACTGGGAAAAATAAATAAATAAATAAAYAAACAAATAAATAAATAARAGCTAGTTAAATGTTAAATCACACGTTAAAATAAAACATGGATTTAAATATTCTGGATCAAGACAGCAGAAATACCCTCATTAAATAAATGTCAGTGAATTTCTGGAAAAACAGAAAACTGTGCCATTGTGTAGTGCTACAGAAGCTAGTATCTTAAACTTTCTATTTTCAGTAAGCTGAACAAGTCTTAACCTGTTAGCRTTCATCTTTGATAAACTCAAAGATATCTGGATTACGTTACCATTCTGAAAGTGACAGAAATGTTTAATTATTTCCTAGTCATTTAGAAGAACACTGATTTTTCTAGTTTCTAGGGAAAACTAAGGACAGCTGGACAAAATGAGATACTGTTCATTTCTTTGAGTCAATTCCTGTTGAGGTTCAAGGAAAATATCATATAWCCTTTTGCAAAAATTTACAATTCCAATCCTAATTCTTCAAAAGACGGGGCTTCTTCTTCCCTCTTGATTCTGTCTAAACTTACTATTAATTAATCTGTGATTTTTTTTTTWAATTTAGAAATATGAAATCAGATCTCACATTTTTATCATTCAGGAAAAGGCACATAATTCCTCAATACAAACAGGAGGCAATACTAGTTGCTACATCCTTGGAGTCTGATTTCAGGAGGAATTGAGATGTTCTAATTCATGGCAGTAGACAGGAATTGAGTTTATTCAATAATTCATGAGTTTCTTCCTATGTTTTGAGTACAACTTTTTGAAAAATTTCAAAAGAAACATTTTCCTCAAAAATTCTACTTTCTCTCAGCTAAAACTACTGCAGTACAAGTTATGCTCACATGTTTTTCTCATATCTCTTATCTATTTTGAAATGACTTTTCATAATAAAAATGTAGAGTGGTAAAACATTTAAAATATTAAAAAAATGGTTGGTTATGGACCAAAAGGGTTTTTTTTAAGGTTAAGACAAAATGTTTCAATCAATATTTATTAATTATGATCAACACAAACAGTTTGAAGGAAAAAAATATATATTTAAACCTGTTTCAGTTTGGGCAGGAAAAAGTGATGACAATTTTTCCTGGGAGAAAACAACATTTTCTAATGGAGATCTAAATATGGTAGTGTTTTCACATYTGCCAAAAAAGAGAAAACTTAATACTCCTGCAGATAACCTCTCTTTGTCCCTAGTGATGGGTGGAGAGTTAAATGTGTTATGCCTTTCCTGTCACTTCGATTCAGTTATTCTAAACGCACTTGCATTGTAAGGTACCAAAATATCCATTTCTTACCTTTAGCCTTTCTGTTACACCATCAGTGAAACTGACTGTGAATTCAGCAATTTTGGGCACTCTGAGTTTTCCTTTGTTCTTCTGGTCGGGCTGATATTCTGTTCTTGTTTTCACAATTACCTGGAAAATGACAACACTTAAGATTTCTGCACAGAGCATGCACATATTTTTGCTTTCCAAGCCCCCATTTTTCTATGCTAACCTTTCTCTGAACCAATGCAACTATCTTATAGCAGTAAATTAACACAAACTCATGATGCCCTTGGGAAGTAAAAGAGACGGATCAATAGACAGGCAGATACACAGATCTACTTATAGTGTGTTTATCACATTAAGTCTTAAAATAGCTGACCACAAATTGTTTCAAACAGACTTTTTTGTCGGATCAGGCAAAAAAAATTATATTTTATATGCAGGACATGCAGAGCATCAGTCAATCCTAAAAAAATAGCCTCACTTATTAAAAGCCCAGTCTTAAGAAATTCAACTGAAGTCAGTGTAAATTGAGGTTATTTGTATTCATATTTATTCAGACTCCAAATTATCGATATTAATCTCATATTACCACTGGGTTTTTTTCTGCAGTAGATCCGTTTCAAATACTGACTAATCCAGTTCCTGCTAATTTTATTAAAGAAAAGAAAAATTAAAAAAGAGAGAAGTGTCTTACTCCAGCAGGAAAGCCTGTAAGAGGCTTTTAAAAGGATATGATTAAATTAACAAAACTGCATCTTCAATCTACATTGAGCTAATTTGTAAATCATAACTAACTTAAACATTTTGGAGAAAATCCACCCACCACAACTAAAAATAAATGCAGCATCTAATGCCAGCTAATCCCAGAGAGGACTCGCAACAGGGCTGTGCTCTGGAGCTAAAAACTCCCCAGAGATCGCATCCCTTTTGTGAAACTGAGGAGACCTAAAAGACTCCACATGCCCGAGTCTACACAGCAAATGAACAGCGTGAGAGCAGCGAGAGAGACGACACTGCCTGAATCTAGCTGGGAAATGCCGGAGAAGACGAAATGGCTCCGTTTTCATCCTTGGTCAAGAGCTGAAGTTGGATACGTAAAGTCTTGAGTGCTGTAGAAAACCATGTAAAGTGGTGCACWAGGTTGAGTCAGTAGCTTTTGAAGAACGTATTTCCAAATGAAGATAGTAAAGTCTGATTTGGACCAGCGAGCTCTAGGTATTTAATACTACTGCGCTTAATGTATGTGAAGATGAGAGCGAAGGAAAATCAGTGTAATCAGCATAGAGATAAAAGTCAATTTTCTGGATTCTAATGAAAATCATTAGAGACCAATGAATATTTATATCCTTCAGCAAATCCCTCTCCATAATATCCAGTACAGTGCCACTTGCAACATCACACCTTGGGAAAGAGAGAGAGGAGAATAAAGCACCCAAATATTAGCATTTTGGAACTGAGGATTTCTCATGRCACAGCAGAAATGGTGGGATACAGCACGTTTGGACCCGGTGGATTCAGCGGGGTTTGGGCCAAATCTCTTCTCCAAAGTGCAGCTCAACATGCTGCGGACCAAGAAGGCAAAGCTCTCTCCATGAGGACAAACCAGTCCAACTTAGCTCTGCTATGAACAAACAGTTATTTAATTTTCTGGCTCAAAATTTGCCAGGCACACTCTGGACTGTGCGCAGTTGAACCCAAGCTTTCCAGCATTCGCTTTCCCTCGCTGCAGCGCCTGRTTTATTTTTAGTTAATCTCTTTGAATTCTCCCCGATCCTGGCTTCCTGTTTAATATAGATCCCGGTTGTAGATAAACTCTTTAAATATACATAAGAAGGCTTTCCCACATGCTCTGACATTAGGTCTTAATGAAGGACCATGGGGGTGGGTGGAGAATTAAAAACCTTCCTTGTTTCTATACATAATTTAAATTTCTTTCCCACTCTTTCACCGATTCTGTTTTTCTTACTCATATTTTTTACTTTGTCTTTACATTCAATAAATATTCTCTGTGTAGAAGAGCTTGACTTCTGCTATCTACAGACAAGGGCAGTGTGAGACTGCAAATGCACCCACACAGCCCTTCACAAGGTACGTAGGTTGTTCAGGTTAAATAAATAACCTCATTGTCCCTCCAGCACCAAAACACTTGAAACCCATTTTGCTCACTGTGCCAGCAGTGAAATTGGGTTTGCATGAGCCACAGCTATCCTACTGGTCAGTGTTTTCAGAGAAATTTGCAGTGTTATCAAAAAGCTTTAGCTTTGGAGCCAAGATATATCCTTTGCTAAATGCCATTTGGCAAAGAAAAAGTAAAATATCTGCTCTCCAGAAATATCTTTATTAGACACCTGGTGAAATTACTCAGCAGAAGAAAGACACAGCGGTTGGAAAGGTCTCTAAAGAGAACACAGGAATCAAAAGAGAGAGGAAAAACAGAAAACTAAAAACCTGTAGCGAGGAGGGGGGAAACATTTAGGACTGTGGCAGCAAAGATAGCGGTTTTGCTGAAGGTACAGGGTGCACATTCAGAAGAAAATAGCTCCCTCTTGTCCACTGACCTACAGCCTAACTAAATAAGCCCGAGGATGGATCTGCAGGAACGTTCAACCCTTCTCCATCCCACAAGTTTGCCCCCAGGATGCTCCAGCAAAGGTTCTTGGCAGCTGAGTGGTGCTCAGCAATCACCTTGTGCCTCCTGCACTGGGAAGGTATCCCAGAGAGAGCCGCTTCAGCAGTGCCCACAGAGCAGAAGGAAACTCCATCGGATCACAACCTACACACACGATTTTGGGGGAGCGCTCCCCAGTGCTGGCAGCTGCCCATGCACCCATCAAGCACAAAGGGCTCTGGAGCAAGTCAAACAAGAGCTGGTAAAAGCACAAGAGCTTCGCTGCAGTACATGCATTATTTAGCATGCAAACTCAGGAAAGGAATAATTAATAAAGAATTCTTCACTATATTTTTAGCATTCATTTTTGCTTGCTGTTTTATTTGTTTGTTCTGCTTTCATGTGCCARTTTTCTGATTTGGATTGTTAGGGTGAGACCTTCCTACCACCCTTTTTTCATCCTTTCTTTCCTTTTTGCCACTGAGAGAGAATTCCCGACAGTTCAGTCTACCAGAAATTGTAATCACATTGCTGTTGGACTGTGCAGCAATAAAACCCTGCCAACTCCACAGTCAGTGCAATGATCGGAGTTCATTTATCACAGAGCAGTTCCCTTAGAGACCAAGATTCTCCCATTTGAATGCAAACAAAGCAAATTCAACTCACTCCAAGGCAGGTATCCTGGGAGAGCTACTGGCGTTATAACAAACCACAGAAAATAGAAAGATCCTGATTAATTCTTCTTGTTAATTTTGCAGCCTTGCTGATTTTGGTAGAGTTATTCTTGACTGAGGCTGGTGAAAGGGAATACAAGAATTAGGGATCTGTATGGGCTTAAATTCAAAGCGTACCGAAGTGAAAGAAATGCCCATGTCATTTGCTCTGCAATGTTGTGATGGTGGAAATGCATTGCTGGAAGGAGGTAAATTCCAGATTTGTAGTACTGCAAAGCTTCCAGTGTTCTTTGGCCTCATGAGTACAGAAAATAAGTGCAAACACCCAAAGCAGTGCTTAAGTAGACAATAGCCTCTTGAATGCTCCCAAAATAGAATAATTGCCCTCTTTTTCATCCCCATTGAAACACCAGCATTCTGGACATTCTCGGTCAGCTTTCAGCACACACCTCCTTGCTCCCTCACCTCCTCCTGCTGCTCCCTAAGCCTTGATTCARCTGATGCACCTCATGGTGGAAAGGGTCTGGCACTCGCGGGGCAACACTCTTGTGCAGGTCAGCTGTAAAATTTCTGGGGCAGAAAATCCCTTTTTATCAACTCATGAAACAACCTGTACATGCCAGGAGCTTACTAGCTGAGCCTTTGTGCTTGCCGCATAAATACCCTTTAAACTTGGACATTTGTGAATGGGGTCTAGATCAATACCAGCTCAAGGGGATCTCCCTGCAAATTTGTGTGGCTGCTGTAACTGTTCTTGAATTTTTCACACAATTTCCTAGAGACTCCCCCTCTGTAAACTGAAGAAAGACGGCACTGATTATGACAGATGCAAGAAATAGCACTAAATGCTAAGGAAATAGCACACAGGATTTTCTTCATTTTGCATCTGAAGCAAAATCATTCTTTGAAAGTTACTTCCTAGGAGAAGTTTGCAGGCAAAGTGTAAAAATGCAGTGTTAAAGAGAGAAAAGTGACCAGGCAAAAGTCATGCCTAATTACTAGGGTCTGCACTTCTGGGCCTTACAGCTCCCTCCAAAATTAAGTTTATCTAGCACTTGAACTCATTAACTTTCTAATCAAAGCACTTATCTAAGTAGTCCTACTCACAGCAGCAGGGTTAGTCATATATTTGAAGTCAAGTGTGCATTTAAGTCCAGATCAGAGCCTAAGCATTGCCTCAACCCATATTCCCATAGCCAGTTATAATATTGTTACTTGGGGCACTCATGGTACCCATTGGCAACACAACAACAAAGTAGCATGTACCCGGCATCCCCATAGCATGGAAGTGGGAATAGGGAAGGAAAAAGGGGAGAAAAAAAAGGCTGAGGAGGGTATTAATAAAGTTTCATCACGCCCTGAGTCACAGCAGCAATCTGAAAGAGAGGAAGAGACACCAGGCCTTGCAGTTACTCAGAGTGCCCCGTGTTTTCTCAACATCTTCTAAGCTGTGCACCTAGGGCGATAATAACAGTTCCAAGACATTCTCCATATAAATACTGCATTCTTGGAATGAGGGGCTATCGTATCACGCATTGTGGCTGGTGTGGGGAGGAATCAGAAATACGATGGGAATGGCAGTTCTCTGCAGAGCTGCTGCCCTCGGTCATTGCAGCTGAGCCCTTTGTAAGCTCGCCCTGCTTGCCTTGGAAGCTTTAAACTCTCTTCCCTTTCTTCTGTCTTCTCATTCGTCACTCTACTCGCACGTGAAATGCTTTTTCTGTGAGAGTCCGGTACTAAATCTATAGGGAATGGACTGTTAAAATTATAGAAACACAAGTGTGATAGGGCACAAGCCATATCTTTACTGGTCTACATAAGAAAGATTTTGTCTAATAACACTGTTTACCAATATGTGTATC